TCTCTCTCTCTCTCTCTCTCTCTCTCTCTCTCTCTCTCTCTCTCTCTCTCTCTCTCTCTCTCTCTCTCTCTCTCTCTCTCTCTCTCTTTTTTTCCTCTTGCATCCCTTTGCGACTACTGGTTGCTTTGATTGTGACAATACTAACAATGGATGTTGGGGTGATTTATTGTTGATGATTACGCTGGTGTCGATACTTCGACTACATTGACACTGCTGTTACTAGGTGGGGGCAAAGTAGATGGGAGGTGCAGCTACTGGGGAAGTGCTTGGTCTTTGTGTAGCCAGGCAAAATGATTGGTCTTTGTGTAGCCGCCCCCCCCACCAGCAGCCCCACCCTACTCCCTGACCACCAATGCTTGGTCGTTGTGTAGCTCCCCCCACCACCAGCGGCCCCATCCTACTCCCTGACCACAACCGATAGGGCAGGGGGCAGCATGCATCCCCTTGATTGTGAGAGGTACCTATGGTTGCAGGGGTCCCCTGTATAGGCTTAGGAGTAGTGGTGGCACTGATGGGTAGGTAATGAGAGTTGAAATTGAGAGAAGAATAATGCTTGGCTATTTCTTCTTCACTCCATTGTTACCCCTCCCAGTGCCGTACCCCCCGTTCACTGTTCACACGAACTTCACGGGGTCTGTGAATGGAAACCGGTCATGGAGTTCACGGAGTTCACGACATGGGAGTTCATGGAGTTCATGGAGAGCGGGATCGTTTTTTTTTTTTTTTTTTTTTTGGCTGGGGGGGGGGGGGGGGGGGGGGGTTATAGGAAGGTGGGGGTCATCGAAGGGTAACCCCCATAATTTTTTCAATTTTGTTTTTTCACAAACAATTTTTTTTTAAATTAAAAACAGGAAAAAAACAAATCAACCAACCAAAATAAGCATTTTCATTTGATATTTTAATAATTTATAGGTTATTTCATTTTTATTTATTTTTTTCAACGTCATCATGCTGTGGGGCTTGAGGCGACCTTTGCTGGGTGAGACCTTAAAAAAAAAAAAAAAAAAAAAAAAAACACCACTCTTTCATGGTCTGCCCGTTCACCGCCGTTCACAAAAAAAACACCAAATGAACGGCCGGTCATGTTCAAGTGACCGGTGCCGTTCACGTTCAGGGTGACGGCACTGACCCCTCCTCCCTGGCTTCCTTCTTGGAGCACCCTTGAAAACCTCGAGGGTGCAGGCAGGCAGTATAACGGTCGTGTTGGACTCTCTTTAGAAATGTGATTCTTAGGAATGGAGAATCATTCCACCATAGAGTGATGGGAGAAGGGGATGAGCGCTGGGCCTCCATAGACCCGTGGGAATGACAGTGGCTCCCTTCGGCAGGGCCAAAAATCGTAAAACCTAAACCTCAACATCTAGACAACCTGTGGGATGTCAAGATAAACCCCAACGACTTGCTTAGGGTCAAGATGAACCTGTGGGATGTGGTGAATGACCGGTGGAAGCACCATCTGAATATTAACATGCAGCCCCTCCATCCCATACGGTGGTTCCAAGGTGCGAAGCGTAAACCTACTAAAATCTCCGCCCTCCAATGGCAGATCGTCCACTGATGCCTCCCCACAAATGACTGGTTGATTGACCACACCCAGCTGGAACAGCAGGGGAGGGCCGTTTCGTGGTGCCAGCGCGGCCTGCAAGGTTTCCCTGCGAGGAAAAAGGCGGAAACAATTGACCACGTATTCTTGCAATGCCCGACCTCGGTTCTTACATAGAGATGGTGGGACAGAATCTGGCGACAGATGCTTCCCGACTTGCCCTGGCCATGGATCTGGAGGGTGATCCTGGCCGGACACCATCTAGGGATTCAAAATGGAGGGTTTATGGGGGACATGTTCCAGTTAGGCAGACGGGCGATTCTCTGGGCACTACGTTGGCAGCACTGTGCTTCAGCAATGGAAGGTGTTTCGGTGGAGGGAGAGGATAGATTGGAGCAAGTTAAGAATCACTTCCACCTCAGGATCATGTAGCAATGGCAGAGCACCAAACGATGTTGAACTTGCTACACAGCCCCGCAAACATTGGTGCACAGATAACTCACTTCTGCCAGGAATGGCTGGGGATTGACTGGGCCAGGGGGGATGAATGGTGCAGGTGCGATGGTCGGGGGACGGGGGGAGACCAAGTCATGGGAGGAAAACGACACGGTGGACGAGATGCCTAGGGAATCGACTCATCTACAAGGACTGGACTACAGTCCACCTAGATGTCCCAATGAGATCAGCAGAGTAATTTCCAGACCTGTTCCCACTGCACTCCCTGTCCTTGGAGGTGTGACTGTAACAAGCGCTACACAACTCCAGGGGAAGGGAGGCAGTTGGGCCAACCCTGTCCTGTCCTCCCTCCCCTCCCCCCCCCCTCTCATAAAGAGCCACCTGAAGGCTACGAATCCCCCCCGGCGGCGGCCAAGCGCGGCCAAGTCCGCGGCCGCGGCCAGGTCCGTGACCCCGCGGCCGCGCGGCTTTGAAGCCACGCAGCGGCCAGTGGGGAGGGGGCTTGGGGATTCGGGAAGCGCCATGGGGCGGCTCAACCTCAGGCCCACCCCCTCGAACAAAAAAAAAAAAAAAAAAAAC